ACTAAATAAGAAAAACTATATATAGTAAGTATAATAACTATATATAACATTTACAGGCAATAAGTCCATCAACAATGTCTAATCCATTTGCATTTGACAAATTCAGAGAAAATATTCCATATCGATCCTATCTTATGAGTCCAAAGTGTTGTACATAATTCACTCTTTTTAAAAAAATATTTATTTATTTATTATGTATAAAATACTTTATCTGTGTGTATGCCTGCAGGCCAGAAGAGGGCACCAGACCTCATTACAGATGGTTGTGAGCCACCATGTGGTTGCTGGGAATTGAACTCAGGACCTTTGGAAGAGCAGGCAATGCTCTTAACCACTGAGCCACCTCTCCAGTCCCTAATTTACTCTTTATTCTAACTTGCATTACCAACTCAAAATTATCTTTTTAAGTCTCTCAACCTTATATACTTTAGTGAATCTCTTTTCTGAGTCTGGTAAACAAGGGAAACTGTAGCTATAACTGTCTAGTCCTCAACTCCCTCAGAGACCCAGGAAGGAAATGACATTACCTGAGCAAGCAGGAAGTGTGAGCAAGTGACTTCCAAAAAAAGTGAGAAGTTACAGAAACAGCTGGCTGCCTGGACAGTCACCTAAGGTTCCTCTGCAACGCTGGAGCATCTGTATTTGACCTATAGGTCTAGAACATTCAACAGACTTTGCTAGGAAGCAGGAGTTTTGAAGGACTGTCCTGTCTTCTCTTGACAAGGTTTAGCAATCACTCTTTTGTGTCCTGCTTGTTCAATTAGGACAGCATACTGTCAACACCCGAGGCAAGGGCACTTTCTTGTCCAGTGACTTACTTACTTTTGCCACAAAGAAAGTAAACTACACGTGGAGTTTCTTTGATGCCCATTGTCTTCTCTGTAGTAGATTGGTGCTGCCATGAACAGAAGTGTCTTGTCATTAGAAAAAAAACCCCTTATGTTATTAAAGCAGAGTGTGCATGGCATGACTGTATGTATAGGTGTCAGTATGTATGCATGTGTATGAGTAGTAGGTGTGTGGATATGTGTGTAGTGAATTAGGAATATACGTGTTCATATATATTGTGTCAGTGGATGTCCATGTGTATAGGTGCGTGTGTCCATATGAGTGTGTAAGGCATGTGCTTTTATGGAAAGATTTCTCTGAAGGGTAAGGCTTGAGCTAGCAACTGAGGAACAGGCCAGAATGGGTATGGAAAGCGGTTAGGACAGGATGAAGGACTGCCTTAATTTGCTTTCTGTTTTTGTAATAAAACACTGACCAAAATCAAATTGGGGCGGGGAGTTTATTTGACTGACAGGTTACAAATTCATCACTGTGGAGAGAGGAGGTGGGCGCTCGAGGCAGGAACTGAAGCAGAGAGCATGGTGGGATCCTGCTTACTGGCTTGCTTCCCCTGGACTGCTCAGCCTGCTTTCTTATAAAGCCGGGCCCACCTGCCTAGGAATGGTACCACCCACAGTGCAAGCCCTTGAACACCAACCAAGCACCCCCCCAGACAGGATCACAGGACCAGCCGTGTTGAGTTGACAACTGGAGCTTTGACAGGGGGAGGAGGACAGTCAACAGTGGGTGCAGTGTGGGGCAGGTGTGTGGACTGGATGAGAAGAGAGGAAAACACACCTGGGGTCTGAGAAGTCTGGGAAATCCGGGGCAGAGGGAAGGGCACCTACTGAGCCAGGGGCGAGGCTCTGCCTCTGGCTCTGAGGACAGGAGGGGACAGTAAGTCCTTCCCTCTGCTGGCACGTGACAGAAAGAACAGAAAGCCTTGCCCAGGGTTCCAGAGAACAGTCCAGAACTATGCCATCTTGATTCAGCAAGGATCCTAGTGAAGACATTTTGAGTCACCCACAAGGAAACTTGCTTCACAAGGAACAGGGTGTAGGAAGGGGGTCAGTCCAGGAGCTGACCTGAAGGGGTCCAGGATATGGAACAAACGTTCCTTCTAGAGGTTTCTATCGCTGGGATGAATGGGTGGACAGACAGATACCTGTAGGGTAGGGGGGACACCATGTGCCTGGTGGCTCCTGGGGACAGGGAACTTTAGGGCCAAGAGGGAGACACCAGGGAACTCTAGGGCTAGGAGGGAGACACCCACGTCATCTTTCCTCTGCTAGCTTGCCAGTCGGGTCCTAAGCATTCTGTGCTCCATGGAGAAGGGCCTGGACCAGAAGGTGCTAGAGCCAAGGGAGACACCTTGTGGTGAGTTTTGTGCATTACAGGCAAGGCTATTTCTAAGTTTTGTATATGTGTATGCATACCTCCCGCGTGTCTCAGTCTCCTCCTCCCCTTTTGTCTTCTTCACTCCCCTCCTCTCTCCTCATTTTTTATCTTCCTCCTTTCCATCTCCAACCTCTCCTGTCTCCTCNCCCCCCCCCCCCCCCCCCCCCCCCCCCGTGCTAGGCTAATAGGTGTGTGAGAGACCAGTGGTGCTGGGCTCTGAACCCCGATCTTCATGGTTGTACAGCAAGCTTTTTTAGCTACTGAGCCATCTCCAGCCCCAGCAGTATACTTTAATAACTAAGCACTTTCCACATTTATATGAGGGAAAATCTCTCTCTTGGGGAGCACATGAAATCAGTAGGGGTCTCCCAAGTGTTGGTAACAACCTGGATACAGTGGAGAGCTGGCCAGAATGCTGCCCTGCCATTCTCGTCTGTTATCCTCACCTCGCCCCTGTTGTCCATTTATGGCTGGAAGCTTGAGTTGATGTTCTCCTCACAGTCTGGAAGGAGATAGAGGACGGGAGAAAGAAAAGAAGAAAGCCTGTGGAGATTGCCACAGCTGTAATCCCCGCACTCTGTGATCCTGAGGCAGAAGGAGCACCATCTCAAAACAAACCAACGAGGGGGCTGGAGAGATGCCTCAGTGGTTAAGAGCATTGTCTGCTCTTCCAAAGGTCCTGAGTTCAATTCCTGGCAACCACATGGTGGCTCACAACCATCTGTAATGAGGTCTGGTGCCCTCTTCTGGCCTGTAGGCATACACACAGACAGAATATTGTATACATAAATATTTTTTAAAAAAAAAGAATGAGAAAGAAAGAAAAACTTATTAGGAAAATAAGGCCCAAGGATTAGGCTCAGGCACCAATAAAAAGATGTAACCCCCCCACACACACACCGGGAGCCCATAAAGTGATAGACACCATGCACTACAACAGCAGGGTCCCCACACCCGCTTGTCATCTGATACCCAGTGTGTGCTCACGAAGGACCAATAGGCAGTATTCCTGACTGGCCCTAGGGCCTCAGCTCAGCCTGGTCCCCTGCTTGGGACTTTGGCCTAGAAGAACATTGAATGCTGTAACCCGGGCTTACGGGGTTATCCTAGGAGGAACGTGAAAGACAGCAACACTGAGAGCTGCGGATGTCCAGCTCAGGCTCTCAGAGGGAAACAATATTAGCCACTGGGTGAGAGAGCCGTTCTTGTGATATTTTGGCAAAGACCGTGACTGCTTTCTGCCCTTTCCCTAAGACTCTGCCTGAGACGGAACTGATGAGTTTTGGATTGACTTTGCTGTCAGAGGTTCTGAGGCGGCCCGACAGTGACTCTGTCTCGTGGTTATTATCACTCTAATGTATTAGGATTGTTATCCAGAAAGAAAACTTAAAGGTGGGCTTCTGTTTACCGGACTACCCTTAATCCTCCAGAAGCCTCCCAGAACCTCGCCCCACAAGGTCAACTACCTCTGGAAGGGTTCCTTGTTCCTGGTCAACCCCACGGCCTGTGTCAGTTCAGACCCTCACCCATGGACTGTCCCAGAGAAATCTGCTTGCTTTGCCACAGGTTTGCTCTTCTCTCCGCTCCCCCCAAAAGACACCCTTGTCAGTTTGATCCCCAATAAATCTTTCTTCCCATACACAGAGGGGTCTGGTTTGGCAGCCTCTCTGTGCCATCCCTTAGAGGACGTATGTAATTTGGCTTTACAGGGGGTTTAAATTAAGGGATTGCCTTGAAGTCTCAGAAAAGCCTTTGGAACTATGTTGAGACTGAAGAACTATGGAGGCTTTCGAAGTTGGACTGATGCATTTTGCACTATGAGAAGGTTACAAGCCTATGGGAGCCAGGGAGTGGAATGTAGTCGTTTGGATGCAAATGGCCCCCATAAGTTCATGTTTGACTACTTCGTCCCCAGTTGGTGGAACTGTTCTGGAATGAGTAGGAGGTGGTCTTGTTGGAGGGGGTCCCTGGGGGCGGGCTTGGAGGTTTCCAAAGTCCAGGTCATTACTAGTTTGCTGTCTGCCTTGTGATTCTAGGTCAGAGGTAAGCGCTCAGCCATGCTCCAGTGCCCGCCCGCCGGCTGCCATGCACACTCTGAAACTCATCAAATACTTCATCCTATAGCTCGCCTTGGTCACGGTGCTCTGTCACAACAACGGAAAAGGAACTAGAACAGGACCTCGATTGAGAAACTGCCCCCACCAGACTGGCCTGTAGCTACGTCTGTGGGGCATCTTCTGAATGAATGGTATGGGAAGATCTAGCTTCCTGGGGACAGGGTCACTCCTGGGCAGGTAATCCTGGTGTGTAGAGGAAAGCAGGCTGAGCAAACCACGGGGAGCAAGCCACCAAGCAGCACCGCTCTATGGCTTCCGCTGCAGGTCCTGCCCTGATTCTCAGTGGTGGACCGTGATGTGAAACTGTGAGCTGCAAGGAGCCCTTTCATCCCCACTGCTCATACTGTTTTATTACAGCAACAGAAAACCTACGATACCCGCAGACTTAAAAAACATGCTTGTGTATGTGCGCGTGCCTGTGCTCCTGTGTGTGAGTGTATGTGCGTGAGCATGCACGCACACTCAGGTACGCGTGTACACACGTGGAGGTCAGGGGACAAACTCGGGTGTTACTCCTTAGGGACACGGTCTACCTTCTTCAAATCCAGCCCCTAGAAAGCACCCCCCCACCTCCATTGACCCTTCAGAGTTGAGAGCCGAGTTAGAACCCACTCCCGTCCCCAGGGTGTCCAAGACAGAAGCAGGCGACAGCAGGAGTCCTGTACCTCAGACACAAGCTTTATTGTCCGAACACGGACTGCCACACTTCCACAATTCCACTGGGGGAGGGGGAGGGAGGGGACGGCTGAGCCACAGTCGTGTGGTCACACCGGGTAGGCTGAGGGGGCCTTCAAAGGCCAGTGCTTGTGAGGAAATGGCTTCTTGCACACCTCCCAGGTGCAAGCCCACTCCGGGGTGGGGCTCAGCCCCTTTTGGTCCCTACTGTGGGAGCCTTTGGCTATTAGTTCCTAATCCGTGAGCTGCCCGATTGTGCGGAAGAGAGCAATATTTGGCTCTGCAGTTAGGCCACTAAAGCGTCAATTCTAGGCTCTAGGCTGCTTGTTGTTAAAGGCGAGTGCTACCCAAAGCATAAAGGAGGGTGGAGATGCTAATTCGACTCCTCCCGACAGGTGAGCGTGAGCGCCACCTGCTGGTCCATCCTTCTAACTTACCATAGCGGTCACCCACTGTGGTCCCACCCTGGGAAGACAGGAACCGGACCCTCTGAGGGTTGCTGGGGTCTTTGGAGTAACATGGCAGGGGTTCCCAGATCGGTTTCTCTCCCCGCCCCCCCCCCAATAAAACGCCATGCGAATGCTTTGTTTAAAGAGTTTTGTACCTGTTCTAGCTTGACTCCAAGCCCCAAGCCAGGCCTGGCTCAAGGTCAGGAGGGGAGGAAGAACATCTGCGTGCTCACCTAATACTGTAGCTGTCTGCTCAGTGCTTTCTGGGCAGCAGGTGGGGGTAGTATGCATACTAGCCTGGTGTTGAGGAGGGAGGAGCCTGTCGATCCCCAAACCTTCCCTGGCTAAAGAGGCCCAAGAGACCTTGTACCAATGTGTAAATGAGTCAAGAATGCCCTTCCTAGTTTCTGAAGACTGAAGCCCTTCTCAGTGTGTAGGTGTCCAAGCAGGGGCCCTGCACCACTCCTCAGAGGCCTGCAAGGTACCTGGGGACACCAGAAGGGAAGGGAGGCAGGCGAGTACCCAGGTGCCCAGACAAGACTCAAAGCAGCCTGCTGTAGCCAAGAGAGGCCTAACTGGATCGCTTCAGCCTCTGCAAAGTCCAGAAGCGCCTTGGGACAAGAGAGGTTGTCTGGGGCCAGGCCCAGCTGTACCGCGCTCTGTGGAAGGCCGTGTCTGTGGGAGCCTCCTGGTCCGGCAGGGGGTTCAGGTGGGAACTGTCCACAGCGGTGAGGACAATACAAACACAGTCTCATCTCCAAAGAGACAGTTCTGGCTCCTGCCTGGAGGTGGAGCTGCAGGTGGGAAGCCCGGCAGGGCTCTGGTGGGAATGGGGCCGGTTCATGGCGTCCCTGGGTCAGTGTTTGTCCTAGAGAGAACAAGGGTTTGATCGTCAACAGTCTTGAGGGATGGATGGGCAGATGAGGGAGGGACAAGGGGGAGGAGAGCATGCAGGGTACGGGGAACACCATGTGCCAAGGCCCTGTGGCAGGAAAAGCCTGGATTCTATAAGGAGACCCAAGAACCTTTGTGGAAAACGGATCTCAAGAAATAAGAAGCAAGCTGGGTGATGGCGGCTGTCTCGAAAAACCAAATAAATAAGTTAAATTATATAAAAAAAGAAAGAAACATGAAGCAGACCCCAAACTTCAGTCTCCACATCTTGAAGTGATGAGGACCATATTTCTTACGAGGTTTCTGGAAAAGCAAACCTTCACATGGTCTAGACAACAGCTCCCAGGGTAGCAGCTGCTCTGCCACCCCAACACTGCCGGCTGCGCTGCCCTCAGCTACTTGGCGAGGAACGGCCTTCAAGGTCCTCGTTCCCAAGCCCGACCCTTGTTAAATGCGGAAGGTCAAGGAGTAAGCTGAGTTTGTCTTCATTTCAGCCTCACCTGCCTGGGTCACACAACGACCTGGGGACAAAGATGCTCCCAGACCAGGGGCTATCATGGGTGTTTGTAATAATCTGGGGGAATAATCTGGGGGAAAGGTGAGAAACTGGAACAAGGGCTGGGGATGTGGTTAGCAGTAGAGCCCCTGCCTAGAATCCCCCAGTGAGGGGCTGGGGTGTGGCTCAGTGGTAGAGCCCCTGCCTAGAATCCCCCAGTGAGGAGCTGGGGGTGTGGTCAATACGAAGGCTCTGGTTCCATTCCCAGAACCACAAAAAAAAAAAAAAAAAAAAAAAAAAAAAAAAAAAAAAAAAAAAAAAGGGAGAGAGAGAGAGAGAGAGAGAGAGAGAGAAAAGCAGGACCATTCCTGGATGGGATAGACTAGTACCAGAATCTTCCTAAGCAAGCAACCCCCTGCTGTTACAGGGCACGCACGCACACACCACAGAGTATTCTTGTTCCTAGTGTAGTTAATGACTTCCACGAATTTTTTCATCGGTGCTGGCTTGGGCGACCTAGAGAGACTGCTGGCGCACTTACCTCCTGTTTGTGGGCCTTGTCTGGCTGGTGGATACCGTTGGCAGAACCGGAATTGCTGATGGTCTGTGAGGGAGGGGAGTGAGGGATGGGGATGATGAGGCGCCACTGAGCAGTTGGTCAGGATGCAGTTCCACATGTAACCACAAGGGGGACCGGGGTCCCCAGTGGGACCAACCAGGCTCAGAGTCAAAGCCTTGTGGCTGGGGTCTCCCAGGACAGGACTGTTTGCTTCCTTTTCAGATTTAGGTTCTTAGGATGGGACCACCCTCCTCAGACTGGGGGGGGGCTTCCAGTCTTGGGTCACTCTCCTGTGTCAGACGGGGGTCTCCAGGATGGAGCTGCCTCCCATTTGGGACTGGGGTCCTCGGACTCGGCCACCCTCCCGGCTGCAGCCCCGGATGCGTGCTCACCGGAGTCCTGTCTGAGCCCCTCAGAGCCTCCACCAGCCTCTCCACCTGTTGGGCCTGGTCCAGTGCGTCCCGCAGGGCATCCTCCGTGCTCACCAACTGGTGCTGCAGTCGCAGTAGCTCGGGCGCTGATGCTGGGTCAATGAGGGAGTAGCGTCTCTGCTCTGACAGGGACTTCTCCTTATCCTGGAAGGGTGGAGGTGCGGGCACGTGACCTGCCTGTGTGGGTGCTAACCGGTCCTACCTCCCTTTTGAGTCGAGCCTGGGTTTTACAGGGACTCCCTTATAACGTCTCCAAGCCCTAGACTCTAAGACCTCCCTCTCCAGCCTTACCCGAGCTGCCCCTTCCAACTTCCACAGACTCCGCTACACCCAGTACTCCTCTCTCACCCCCAAGCCCATGTGACCCTCCTCCCACCTATCCCCGGCCCCTTACACGTGTCTCTTCTCTCCTCGCTACGATTCAGGACGGTCAGCGTCCACATACTCCACTCTCCTCCCATCAAAGCATCCTCCCAAGATGCACCTGGCAGGCTCAGCCTCCCCAACCCTCTCGCCCCAGCCTGAGACTTCGGGCCAAGCTCTGAGCATCTATGCAAACCTCATTGTCTCTCCAGGACTCAGGGTCTTCATACGGCTTCCAGCTTATCACTCTTTTCCCTGAAGGACCAGGGCTGGTCCGTCTCACTGGAGCCCCAGGGTACAAATACGAACTCCTCTCTACCTGTACCTCATATGGAAAGTCCACCAGCATAGGCTCCTCCTTCCTCCCGTGTCACAGAGCCACACAGGCCACAAGTGCGCTGACACCTAAGCGGGCTAGACACAGGACCTGAATGCTGTCAGGGCAGCTGGGCCCGACAGCCACCATTCCTAGGATCCATGAAACCAGACGAACCCCATATGCCTAAAGAGCTCCTTTCTTTGTTTCCTCGAATAGGATCTCATGTAGACCAGGCTGGCACAGAGCTTGCTATGTAGCTGAGGATAACCTTGAACGACACCTCCCCAATACTGGGATCACAATCATAGGCCACCCCATTTGGTTTTATATAGTGCTGGGGATAGAACCTAGGACTTCAAGCACCAAACAACATCCCCAGCTCCCTGAATGTTCTTTACTGTCCCACCTTCCTCTCTACCCTGTGGATTCTTCCAGGACCAGAAATGGCAGATCTAATCCCTGTACTCCAAAGTGCAGGGGGAAAGAAGATCCCACCCTCCTTGGTCTACCCAATCCATACACCAAAGATGGCCGGAGATGGCTTGGGGATCAAGCTTGCTGACAAGTCAATCAAAAAGGGAAGGGGGGGGGGTCCTAATTCTGTCCTGTGCTGCCAATATCACCACCTGTCTCCATCCCCACCCAGGATAACTCAGCTCGATGTCAAGTCGTTTTTACTGAAGAAACTCCACCACCCTCTGACTCCAAACCTCTCATCTCTGCCGAGACGGCCTACAGCCCCACACAGCACTGAACAAGGAGCCCAGCCCCTTGTTTCTGGTTGCTCACCTCACTGCACGGATGTTTCCTGCCCTCCACACACGAATGACTTTTGCACGTCTGGCTCTGGTCAGACCAGGCTGTGTGTGTGTGTGTGTGTGAGCATCTCTAGCTATGATGTACAAAAAGGGGCTACTAGGGACCCTCCAACTACTATGCGCTTGGGATCCCAGAGAACTGGATTTCCAGCCCCCTCTGTAACTCTGGAAGATCACTGTAGGGCTCCTTGGCCCGGCAACCACTTAGCCTGACCCCACCCTTTGCCTGCACGTACCAGCCCAGTCAGCTTTTCACGCAGGCTCCGGATGTCATCCTTCAGTTTTTGTTCCTTTATCCGCCATTCTGCCTTGTGCACCTCGCGGCTCAGGTCTCTCTCGGGCCCTGGGGAGTGGCGATTGGCTTCTAACAGCAACACCCTTAGCTCATTCAGACTCCTGGGTGGGCGGACAGTCAGAGAACCAGGGCTTCAGCTGGGCACCTCACCCCCACAAATGTAGTGTAAACCAGATGCCTGGAGGCCCGGTACCACCAGGGGGCGCCAGTCACAGGCAATGGTGCATCAGAGACAAGCGCTGAGGAGGACGTAGCCTGGGTCTGCCACACCCAGGAGGGGCAGCCTTTGGATGCAGGATGATCGAGAGGACTTGGCTGTTCTTAGAGTTTTGCTTGTTTTTTTTTTTTTTTAAAAGATTTATTTGTTTTTATTTTATGTGGAAGAGTGTTTGGTCTTCATGTATGTCTGTGGACCATGTGCATACTTGGTGACCCCAGGGGCCAGAATTGGATCCCCCTGGAATTGGAGGTACAGATGTTTGGAGCCACCATGTAGGGGCCGGGAAGCAAACAGGGATCATCTAGAAACTGGCTATCTCCCCAGTCTCAAAACTTTTTTCCTGTTATGTTTTGACACAGAGTCTCATGTAGCCCGGGCTGGCCTCCAATTCTCTACGTAGCACCTTGAATTCCTGACCCTCCTGCTTTCCCCTCCCAGATTTGATAACCACAGTCACGGGCCATTATGTCTGGTGTATGTGGTGCTGGGCATGGAATCCAGATGTCGTGTATACTGGTCAGGATTGCTACCAACGGAGTCACATCCCTTTGCCCTTAGATTCCCTTAGCCCCACGGTAATCTCTCAAATATCGGAATCACATGTGACACCATTGTGCTGGGTGTTACCAATCTGGGGTTAGAAGTAAATGAGAAAAGTATTCCAAAGCCAGAGGAGGGCTGGTGAGATGGCTCAGTGGGTAAAGGCACTTGTCGCCAAGTTTGAGGACCTCGGTTCAATCCCCTGGGGCCTGCACAGTGGAAGGAGAGATCTAACTCCTGCCGGTTGCCTTCTGGACTTCACAAACATTCTGTGGCACACACACAACCTCCCATAGGCAAATAAAACAAATAAATAAATGCAATTAAAAAAAAGGAAACAGGGGCCAGGCGGTGGTGGCACACGCCTGTAATTCCAGCACTTGGGAGGCAGAGGTAGACAGATCTCTGTGAGGTTGAAGCCAGCCTGGTCTACAGAGTGAATTCCAGGATAGCCAAGGCTACACAGAGAGAAACCCTGTCTTGAAAAACAAAACAAAACAAAACAAAACAAATGACAAACCCGAAAAACAGTTTGCTGCTTACATTAGAGGAGCTGGGCATAGTGGCTCACCTCTATAATCCTAACACATGGGGAGCTGAGGCAGGAGGATTAGGGAGTTCAAGGCAGGCCTGGGGTGTGCAGAGAGGCCGTATATAAAAAAACAAAAACAAAAGCTGGGGCTAGAGAAAGGGCTCCGTGATTAGAACTCTGGCTGATCTTTCAGAGGACCTAAGTTTGATTCTCAGTTCCACCTGTAACTCCAGATCCAGATCTGAAGCCTCCCTCCCCCCAGCTTCCACAGGCACCTGTATACACATGGTGCACATTTAGACACACACACGAAAGTTCTGAGTAAACTTAATTATTTTACAAGTGGAGAGTCATTCACAAGACCACAACGTGAGGGGGGCACTCATCTTTCTCATAAGTTAGGCACTCGGAGGGGCTGGGGAGATTACTCAGTGGTTAGAGCACCTATGACTCCCGCAGAAGAGCCGAGTTCCATTCCCAGCACGCGTATGTCAGCTCACAACTGTCTGTGACCTCAGTTTCCTGGGATCTGATGTCCTCTTCTGGCCTCTGTGAGCATCAGGCACCCACGGGGTACACAGACATACATGCAGGCAAAACACTCACAGACATAAAATAAAGACATCTAAAAAACAGTCAGGTGGTGGCGGCGGCACACCCCTTTGATCCCAGCACTCTAGAGGCAGAGACAGGTGGATTTCTGTGAGTTCTAGGCCAGCCTGGTCTACAGAGTGAGATCCAGGACAGCCAGGGCTACACAGAGAAACCCTGTCTGAACAAAACAAACAAAAAAAACCCAAAAAACATAAAAAAGTAAGAAAACAAATTAATAAGAAAGGAAGGAAGAAGGAAGAAAAGCAACAGTCTTTGCAGCCTCTTTGAAACTGAGCGGTGCCACTCACCGCTCCTTCCGCAGCAACTCTTGGCTAATGTGGACCAGCTGGCCCGAGGCATCATGGGTCTTTCGAGACACGGCTTCCAGCTCTGCCTCCAGACGCCTCTTCTCCTTCAGGACAGAGTCCATCTTTTTCTCTCCTGATTTGCACTTGTTCTCCAGGGCTGGGGAAAGCCACAGAGAAAGGAGAAATTTCAGACACAAATGGGAACTGGGGTTGTGGCTCAGTGGGTAGACTGCTGGCTCCAGCACATCAGAGGCCCTGGGTTCGAATCCCAGCGCTGCCTACACTGGAGGGGAGGGTACACTGGCCTATGATGCAAATACTTCAGAGATGGAAACAGGAGGACGATCAGGAATTCAAGGCCAGTCTGGGAAAACCAGGGTTTCAGGAGACTGCCCCCCCATCTCAAACACCAATGACTGGTCTAGCCAGAGTGGTCACCCTAAGATGCGGGCAGTGCCAAACATTGTACACAGGTTTATAATTCCAATACTGGTGAGGCTGAGGCAGGAGGATCACTGTGAATTCAAAGCCATAGTGGTTACATAGTGAGTTTCAGACCAGCCTAGGATAGAAAGACCCTGTTCCACACAACAACAAGAGTAGTCAAGGCCTTGCAAGCATGACACCCTGGGTCCATCCCCAGCACCACTTAAACCAGGCGTGGAAGCACACATGGGTCACCTCAGCACCTGGGAGGCAGAAGGAGGGTTAGCAGTTCAAGGCCATTCTCAGCTTCATTGGGAATTTAGGATCTGCTGTGACTACATGAGACTCTGCCTCAAAAAAAAGAAAGGAAAGAAAAGAAGGGGGGGGCTGGAGAGATGGCTCAGAGGTTAAGGGCACTGACTGTTCTTCCAGAGGTCCTGAGTTCAATTCCCAGCAACAACATGATGGCTCACAACCATCTGTAATAAGATCTGGTGTCCTCTTCTGGCCTGCAGGGACACATGCAAGTAGAATGCTGTACATATAATTAATAAATAAATCTTAAAAAAAAAAAAAGAAAAGAAAGGAAGAAAGGAGGAAGAAAGAGGGAGGTAGCATCCAAGTTAGTACAGACCCTCAACTGGACACAGTCTAGAGTCAACCAAAAAGAGCATTGCAACTGAGTAACTCTCTTTATCAGGCTGGTCTGTGGGTCTGTGAGTGTGTAGTCTTCTGATTGTTAATTGATACAAGTGGGCCCAGTCCACTGTGGGCAGCCTCATTCCCTAGACAGATAGTCCAGCCCACTGCGGGCAGCACCATTCCCTGGACAGGTGGTCCTGGGCTGTATCACAAAGCTAACAACACACAAGGCATCTACCAAGCCAGCAAGCAACTTTCCTGTGATTTCTACTTTATGCTTCTGCTTGAGTTTCTGCCCTGAGTTCCTTCAGTGATAGACTGTGACCTGAAAAGCCCAGCTCACCCAAGCCAGCATCCCTGGCTCTGTGGGGTGGGGATGTACGGCAGGTCACTACGGCTGTCTTCACACAGCTATCCAGACAAGGGAAAAGCTGAGGCTATTGGGAGAGTCCACAGCCCAACTACCTTTCTCAAGGCCTGTGAGGCCAGGTAAATGTAACCAGGACTGGAAGAAAAGCGGGGTGGGAACCAGGCCCCGGGAGTTAGCGGGCTGTTCCTGGAGCAATGCCAAGGGCACTCTGAACCAGTGAGTTCCACAGTCAGAATTCCAGACTTCTGACCTCTCCCAAGCTGTGGCCCAGATTCTATATTTTATTTCATTTCTTTTATATTTTATTTCTTTTAAGACTGTTTTATGTAGCCCAGGCTAGCCCCGAAATTTCAATGCAGCCTTGAACGTCCTGATCCTCCTGCCTCTACCTCCTGAGTGCTGGAATTACAGGTGTGTAGCACCATGCCAGGTTTCTTGCAGTCCATCCTACCTCTCCTGGGGACTAGGGGCTGCACAAAAGAGGCCTGTGAGACTCAAGTCTTCAAGAAGGCCATGGACAAGACCTGGTGGGTCCTAGGGGCATGAACTCAGTTCCACATTATGTGATTGCTCAGCAGAGCCCAGGTATAGCTCTCAAGGAGACAGCCCAGCCCAGCTGGACCTCAGAGCCACAGAGCCAGCCTCCACTAAGCCCCAACATCCGGCCCTAGGGAGGGAGACTTACCACTTACTTGGGCCCTGAGCATGTCCATCTGGGATGTCAAGGCTGCCACCTCTTTGTCCCTCTTGTTCAGTTTGTCCTGCAGGCCTAGAAGAGGAAGAAAAGACAGGGACCCATGAATACCCAAGGGTCACTAGTGTGGCCAAGGGGTGACCCTCCTAGGGGCCACACGCTTGTGTCAAAGATCTCTTCTCACCGCCTGAGTCACCCACTCAGAGGAAGATGACCCAACAGCCTGTGGTTCAGGGAACATGCATCTCCATCTCCTTGGCTTCCTCAAGCCAAAGGAGTCGAACTAGTGAAATAAAGATGGCGGCTGTAGAATTATGACAATCCTGTACGGGATTGCTTCCCAAACCACCAGGAAGATGTGTTGGAGCATATGGACGGTTCTCAAATCCAACTGTTTATCACCCAGCTCTTTTGCGTAGCCCAGGCTGCCCTCAAATGGATGACACAGCTGAGGATAACCTTGAACTCCTCGTTCTTTTGCTGCCACTTCCGAAGGATCACAGACACACATCACCGTGCTGTTTTATGTGGTGGTGGTGGCAGAACCAGGGCTGCACACATGCCAGGCAAGCCCCCCACCGAGCAACACCCTCAGCTGCAACATATGCCTACTTTTCTTGAAATAGCATCCTGATACATAGCCCAGACTAGATCTGATCTCATGGGAAGCAGATTTTTTTTTTCAAGACAGGGTTTCTCTTTAGCTTTGGAGCCTGTCCTGGAACTAGCTCTTATAGACCAGGCTGGCCTCTAACTCACAAAGATCCAACTGCCTCTGCCTCCCGAGTGCTGGGATTAAAAGTGTTCGCCACCACTACCTGGCACAATTATTTTTTGAGACAGGTTCTCCACATGTAACCCATGCTAGCCTTGAATTCATGGCAGCCTTGCCTCAGCCTCCCTAATGCTGGGATTATAAGTGTGTGCCACCGTGCCTGGCTAGTTTACATCTAATTTTTAAAAGATAAGGTAAAAACCAAACAAGTGACAAGGAGGAGCAGTAGGCAGAGAGGCGTCTGCCATCTGCAATCCCACCTTACGTACCGAACCCCAACTTTCCAGAGTGAACCGTCACCAAGGTTAGAGCGGCTCACCACAGGGAGGCCGATACTCCGCAAGTCACAATTCTAGCATACACCCTCCAGTTTCCCACCTCTGTATATCCCAGACATGGACGGTCCTTCAATTCTTGTTTACAAATTCCACTTATTTATTGTATTGTGCAGATGTGTGTGCGCATGCGCGCGTGCCACAGCTCACAGGTGGAGTAACTTGCAGGCCAGAGAGCAACCTGCAAAAGTCGATTCTCTCCTGCCAACCATGTGCCAGCTGGGGAATCGAACTTAACGCCTCAGGCTTGGCAGCCAGTACCTTTACCTGCTGGGCCACCTCACAGGCTTGTGGGAAGGTGGTTTATGAGAGACTGAGACACCTGTTCCTTCCCTGGTTCTGTGACGACCTCCCCTGGAGGGGTGGCTACACACAGCAGGTGGCCCAGTGAGGAGCTGCTGACAGACCTTGTGACTGAGCTCCAAGGAAGCCTCCAGCAGTCTTTCCACAAAGCCCAAGGCTACTCACCCTCCACAGTCTCTTTCAAGCGAATCTTCTCCTCGGAAAGGTCATTGGGCTCGATCACCTGAAAGGAGAGTTCAGTAAGAGGACACACTTGCCACCGTACCCAGGACGGTTCTTACACCTTAACTTGGGAGAAGAAACCTTGGGGATCCAGGGACCCAGTATGCCAGCAGAGGGCGCAGACATACTTGGATTCTTCTGAGAAAAGAAAAGCCCAGGTTGGCTTCCATGTCCCTTGAAGGATTCCCCTGCAGCCCCAGATCCACTATTTCAGAGAGTGAGGAACAGAGGACGGACCTTAGAACCTTTTCCATATTAGGCAGGAGCTCTAACTAAGCCACACCCCAGACCCTCACTGGGGATTCTAGGCAGGTGCTCTACCACTGAGCCACACCCCAGCCCCTTACTTGGGATTCTAGGCAGGGGCTCTACAGCTGAGTCCCATCCCCAACCCTTCTAAATTTTTCATTTTCACCATTGATTCATTAGGTTGTATAAACTGGCTTTCGACTCACTCTGTAGCCTCAAACTTGTAACCCTCCTACCTCAGTCTCCTCAGGTATTATGTATTGGTCTGGTGTGAATAGCTCCTTGATTAAACAGGTTTTTTTTTGTTTGTTTTTCAAGACAGGGCTTCTCTGTGTCTTTGGAGCCTGTCCTGGAACTAGTTCTGTAGACCAGGCTGGTCTCGAACTCACAGAGATCCACCTGCCTCTGCCTCCCGAGTGCTGGGATTAAAGGTGTGCGCCACCATCGCCCGGCGATTAAACAGGTTTATTACAATAACTCAGTGCCTCTTGTCTTGAGATCTGCCTTGGGAATCTTTCCAGTCATCCCTAGGACCCCGGTCTTGATGCTCCAGTTGTAAAATAGGCACTGAATGCACACAGCAGCGTCCAGGGCCGGCTCCTCCAGGGACACCCTTACACTGCTTATTAAACAGGAAACTCGGAGCCAAGGAAGAAAAAGCTGATTGAAAAAGAAAAATTGGGGATCTGGGTAGATGATTCAATTGGTAAAGTACTTCCCTTGAAATCAGGAGGGCTTGAGTTTGGGACCCAGAAGCCACATAAAAAAACCTGGGCACAGCCGGGTATGGTGACACACACTTTCAATCCCACCCCTGGGAAGCAGAGGCCTGCCGGTGCTAGGTGGTCAGCCAGCCAGCCTAGCCTACCTCAGGTGTTCCAGGCCAGGTAAACGGGTCAAAAACAAAGTAGATAGCAGCCAAGGTTGACCTCTGGCCCCCACACACGCACACATGTGTATGTGCACACACATGTGCGTGCACACAGAGACACATCAGCAAAGTGGAATACGGTGGCTCGCATCTGTAAGCATGGCTCTTGAGAGGTAAAGGCAGAGGATCAGGAACTTAGGGTTATCCTCAGCCACAGACGAGTCTTTAGTTTGAGGCTAGCCTGAGACAAACAAATAAATGAGAAATGTCTCTTCCTGGGAGAAAGGCTACAGACAACCGATTCCCTGAACGGCACACTGCAGAGAGAGACCGTGCCTGTCTATGAAGAACCAAACAGGGTCATCTCAGACCACGCTGCTCCCAACAATCACCATGGCTCTGAGGGAGATGAAAAGGCCCCCTTTGAGCCCCTTTTTGGCTAGCTCTGGGCACAAGGGAAATGCTCCCCACGCAGCACACAGAGGCCCCACCTTCCCAGCCCCTCCCCATCTGAGCCCCACAGGAGCAGAGAGCAGCCTACATGGCTGTGCTGGGCAGAGCACAGGGACTCGAGGGCTTGGAGTTTATTCTCAGCCACCAGAAGCTTTTCCCGCAGCCGCTCTCCCTCCCTCTGCAGCGTATCGTAATCCACTATCTTCTTCTCAGCCAGGGAGATCTGTTCTTTGAGGAACTCGATGACCCGATTCTGGCCACGGAACTCCAGGTCCAGCCCCTCCAGCTCCTGGGCGCGCAGCTGGGCATCGCGGCACTGGTCCTGCACCTCCTGGAGCTCCAGCCGGTGCTGGCTGGCCTGCTCCTCCAGTTGCGCCCTCCAGTGCTGCTGCAGCCCCGCCAACTCCTCCTGAGCCTCCTGCAGTTTCTGCCGCAGGGCCTCCTTCTCCTTCCCGAGCATGGCTGTCTCCAAGTCGTGCTTGGCTTGCAGGTTGCCTAACTCCAGCTGGTGTTCCATCTTGATGCCCTCCACCAGCGCCTTCAGCTCCCCGATCTCCTTCTGCTGAGCGCCGGGGCCAGAGTTCAGTGTGGCTTTCAGGTCCTCCAGGGACTTCTGGTGATCAGAGGCCAGGGAGTCCAGCTTGGATTTCCAGTTGTCCATGAGTCCCATGTTCTCGCTGGTGGCCTGCTGAACCTTGGCCTTGAGGTCTGCCACCTCCTGTGCGTACTTCTCGTTGGCTGCCCGGAGCTTGTCCACCTCAGCCTGGTAAGTCTTCAGCATCTTCTCGTACTTGTCCTGGAGCAGGGTGCTGTCTCGCTGGTGCTCCTTGCTAGCCGATAGCAGTCGCTCTCGCAGCCGCAGGGTCTCGGCGGCCTCAGGGTGGTCCTGGGGTGGTGGGCCCGACTGCAGGAGACACTGCTGCAGCTCTTCGATTTCACCGCGCCGCAGGCTCAGCTCCTCTTCTAACTGCAGCACCCGAGACTTCTCGGCCACTGTGGTGAGCTAGCGTGAGAGAAAGGGAGACGGGTCAGTGGCCCAGGCTGAGCATAGCGGACGCGAAAGCCCTGACGGAGGGGAGTCAGATGACGGGAAGGTACCTATTTCTACCTAGGTACTGGCTTTTCTCCGGGCCCCTACTGAACCCCGAATGATAGGGTGAACCACAAAGCCTTGTTGCTCGGGTGACTTAGAACCCATCAGTGCATGAGAGAAGTTTGAGGTTAGAACTTTCTAGAAGTTATACGTGCATGCCTGTCTCAGCAATCTTCCTGCCTCGGCTTTCCAAATGCTGGGATTGCAGGTATGTGCCACTCTGCCCAGCTGGAGAAACTTTCTCTGACTTGCAGTCGGGCTGAGCCTGTCTAGAGGGCGCTAATCAGTCTAGTGAGTTTCTCCGCACGCAATATTCTGGCACACAAAGCACACAGGGCGTATGATCACCAGGCAATGGCCAGTGTGCATATGAATGTGTCTCCAGCTGCTCACGTGCCCTGCATGGCGCTATGGCCACCAAGAAGAAACAGGGCCCTTGCCTCAAGCCTGCCTGTAAGGAAGTTTTCCTGATCAATGCTTGCTGTTTGGTCAAACTCCTCCCCACAGAGCTACAGCTGGGTTGGACAGCTGTACGGACACATGTACAGTGCACGTACAACAGGTGTGGAAGGGCCAGCTGGGTCTCGAGTGTGGGACACAGAACCACACCCTAGGATTGACGGGACCATTGTCCCAAATGCAGCTTCTCAGGGCCTCCTTGACACACTTATGACTATGTTCAGACTTGGAGACTGACATAGTTCCATTCTTTGGGGATATCCCAACATACGAAAAGCCCCACTGCTTGAGCCCCAGAGATCCTCCAGGTTGGCCCTCTGCTGCCACCCTAAGACTCTCTGGGCTAGAGCATCCTGTATCTGCATTGCTATCTCTGACCTCCGAGGCAGCATGGACAAGGAAGCCCGTGTCCACCTGAGACCGCTAAGATCACTCCCAGGAGGATTCTTTGTCGTGATGGACAGGAAGGAGGCTCAGGGGAAGGTCTCAGAGAGAAGCCTCGGCTCAAGGAGTCATGAACTTGGGAGCAATCCCAGAGGATCAATACCCACTTCCCAAAGAGCCACAGTGAGCCTGACTCAAATCTCAACTTCCGTCCCAGAGGGGAGCACGGAAGGAAATTCTAAAAAGGGAAAGCGGCCATAACGATGGCTGAGGAAATGATAACAGGCAAGGGGGGTATCGAGGGGCCGAGGTGACGGCCAGGTGGGTGGCGGTGGCGGGCGCGTTTTACCCTGTTATCCGCTAATTCTCTGAGCAGCCGCTCGGCCTGCGCCTTCTCCAATAGCAGGCTCTGCTCCAACTCCCCAATGCGCGCGTGCTCCAGCTGGGTCTGGGTCTGCTCCACCCAGGGAGGGAAGAGGGATGGCAGGGCAGACAAGGAAGGCAGAGGTGTGGGGAGGAGGGCACGGGGAACAGGAAGCCGGAGAAAGAAAGAACGGGAGTGAGAGAGAAAAAGAGGAGAAAGAGAAAGAGAGGAGGCGTCATCTTCAGCGAACAAGACTGTGAAAATAGATCAATGAGCCGGAATCTCTTGGGGGGAAGAGAGAGAAGATCTCAGAAGTGGGGTGCGTGGGGGGCTGGGTGCCCTCCCCTCATGGTAGCATAGCCTTGAGTATATTCAAACAGAGGAGGCTGTGGGAACCATCCCTTGCCAGCCTCTGGCGATGCCGTGGCAATGGCTTCCCTAATTTCCTCTTCTGACTCTTAAATCCTGCCATTTCCTGCTGCCACTCTGGGAGCCTGTGGGCTTCTTTAAGGGTCTTCTCCCTCCCCACCCCGAGGCAGGGTTTCTCTGTGTAACAGTCCTGGCTGTCCTGGAACCCACTTTGTAGACTATAGGCCGGCCTCAATCAAATGCACAGTGTTCCGCCTGCCTCTAAGTCCCAGGATCAAAAAAGTGTGCCACCACCACCCAGCCTTTTCTTTCTTTTTTGCTAATTACATTTATTCATTTAGTGCATGCGTGTGCGTGTGTGCGTGCATGCACATGTACACATGCCACAGTGCACACGAGGGCAGTCTGAGAACAACTTGTGGGAGTTAGTTCTTGCCTTCCACCATGTGGGTCCCGGGAATCAAACTCAGGTTGTCATTTGGGCAGCAAGCCCCTTTACCTTCTGGGCCCTCTTGCCAGCCCTTCCTGTCTTGTCAACTCTGGCTGGCCTTGAATGCCCTACGTAGACCTCGAGCTCACAGACTCTCTCACGCCTCTGCCTTCTGAGTGCTGGGACTAGAGGTGCACACCACTGCACCTGTTTTCTTTTTGGTCTTTTGAAGCAGGGTTTTGCTACACAGCCAATCAAGTGCTGGATTGACATGTAGGTGCTGCCTTCACTTCCGGCTTTAAGTCTTAGCTATAGCATCCTCAGAGAGGATGAAATAATGATCCCAGGACTTCAAGACACCCAGGACTGTATTCAGGGGGAAAACCCAACAGCTCAGGGTTTCCCAAGTCATCTTGACTTTGCTGTGTAGTTTAGCCTGCTTGTTTGGTTGGTGTTTGGAGCCAGGGGCTCACTATGTTGTCAAGGCTGACCCCTCACTTCCCAAGTATGAAAACTGTACCAAGCCCAGCTTGGTTTAGAACCGAGTATGTAATCCCAAATGCCCTTGAACCTACAATCCTTCTGCCTCAGCCTCCCTAGTGCTGGGATAACAGGTACCCACCAGGGGTGACCCCTGCCTAACAGAACTCACGCCATCTTGATTCTCCTCGGCAGACCTCCTGGGTGGGGACTGGGCTTCCTGGAGCCTAGCTTGGCCGGCGTCCCTCCCCCTCCTTCCCGTTCCCCAGGCTCTACAGAGGATGCCTGGTCTCTGTGAAGTACAAGGGCACTTCTGTCCCCCTCTTTACAACACCCGTTTCATTCGAGAACAAAGCATGACATTCTCTGGGTGGCACAGGGCTGGCATTCGGGTGGCCCGTGATGGATCTTTGCAAGTCAGCGGGGAGGTGGGAAGGACACGCACCCTGGGGTACTCCTAGGAGACCAGAATGGAAACCAGGTTTGTCTCAGGAGAGTGGGGAGGGTGCAACTCACCCTTAGGGAAACACAGGTTAAAGCGACATCTCCCCTACCCCCACAACCCTGCAGCAAGTCTGAAGGGGTGAGTGGGGCTTAGACATCAGGAATAATATTCAGATGCCAGGAAGAAGTGGCCAGCCACGGAGACTGGAAGATTGGAACCTAATACCAACCACTCAGGAAAGGACGGGGGAGAGGGAGGCCTAACGAGCAATAATGAGCTTAGTCACGAGGACAGTAAAGGATGGGGTGACCTAGCCCAAGGGGATCAAGTGTTCTCTTTAGGACAGGGTTCAGGCTTTCAATTTTGACTTCGGTGTGTGTGTGTGTGTGTGTGTGTGTGTGTGTGTGTAGACCAGAGGTGGATACCAGACCTTAACCAATCTCCATCCTGTTTTCGGAGGCACGGACTCATTGACACCGGAGTTCACTGGCTAGGCCAGCCAGCTTGTCTCCAGGGACCCTGTCTCTAGTTCCTCAGCCACGGGGTTAGACATGCATCATGCCCGTTTCTAAGGAGAGTGCTAGGGGTCCAAACTCAAGCTCTCTGTTGATTTTCCTCATCGTGGGCCCCTAACTAGGGGGTCCTATATAGGTGTTCTGCTGAGTCATGCCCCCAATGTCCCTAGGCCCCCCAATATGGGTTTCTAGGTTAGTTATCTACTGCTGAGCCAAACCCCCAGGCCTTGGTTTTGACTTAGTCTTTTTTCTATTTATGTATTTATTTTCATATCGCCTGCATGTATGTATAATACCATGTATGTGCAGTGCCCTTGGAGGCCAGAAGGTATCAGATGTCCTGGAACTGGAGTTACAGGTGGTTGTGAGCCACCATGTGGGTGCCAGGAGCAGAATTCAGGTCCTCTGCAATAATAGCAAGTTCTCTTAACCACCGAGTCATCCCTGTGGTGCCACATTTCTGTCTGTTTGTGTTTTTTTGAGACAGGGTTTCTCTATGTAGCCCTGGTTATCCTGGATCTCACTCTAAAGAAGCAGGCTGGCCTCCAACTCACAGATATCCACCTGCCTCTGCCTCCCAAGTGCTGGGATTAAAGGTGTGTACAGCCACCACCCAGCTAGTTTTGATTTTTTTTCAAAAAAATATTTTAAAAAAGTGTGTGTGTGTGTGTGTTCCTGGTGCCCATGTAGGTCCCCATGGAGGTCAGAAAACAGTACTACATCCCTTGGAGCTGGTGATAAGGAGGCTGGGAGCCATCTGGGAACCGAACCCCGGGTTCTCTGGAAGTGTAGCGAGTGCTCTGAACCACTGAGCCATCTCTAAAGCCCCTGGGTTTGCCTTTTAAGATGGGTCGGGGAAAGCAGCATGGATAGGTTAGCACGGTTCACACTCTGGCTGCTCCAAATATCATCACCATTTAGTCTTCAGAGTAAAAAAAAAAAAATCAAAACTGGATGCCACAGCCCTTCTGGCTAAACTGGGCTGTACACCATTTGCCCTGTCCCCCTTACTTGATGCCAGCGCCAGACCACTGGCAGTCCTGGGACCAACCAGATTCTCTCCAGGGGATAACTGGGTGGTAATGTCTGGCAGGCTGGACCAGGGAGCAGATGTAGAAGAGACCAGACAGACAGGCAGCAGACAGACCGGCTGACCAGGGTCACCAAGGGTCTGCTAGCACTTGGCACCACCCTGGCTGGCTCCAGTTCCTTGAACTGCCGGCCCAGGGTGGCGTGATGTGTGCATTTCCCTGCCTGAGCCTCTGTTGATGGGAGCAGGTGAAGGGGGCTCAGATCTGGCAGCCCCTGCACCCCACAAGCCCACCCATCTGTCCTCTGCAGGGGGGCTGCTGCCCGTCAGATAAGCCAGACACAACCACCTGTCCTGTCCCTTTGTAACAAAAACATAATCCTAATGGCTTCAGGCTGGCTAATGATGCTGGTCTTTCCCCCTTCTCCTTCGTTCCTTCCTTTCTTCCTTCTTTCTCTCCCTCTCTTCCTTCTTGGGTCTCATTTATTCATTTATCCCAGGTTGCCCTCAAACCCAGAGCATAGCTGAGGTTGGCCCTGAACTCCTGACCTCCTGCTTCTACTTCCTGAGGCCTGGGATCACAGGTGTGTGTCACCATGTCCAATTTTTATCGTTGTTTAAAAGACAGGTTCTTACTATGTCGGCCTGCCTGTCTTAGACCAGATTGGACTACACAGACCAGACCAGCCTTGAATTTGCCATGCAGCCAAAGATGACTGTAATGTCTATTTCCCCGGCCTCTACCTCCCTATGCTAGGATTACCGGCACGTGCTACCATGCTGAGATTTGAACCCAGGCCTCACACATGCTAAGTAGGCACTCTACAGACTGAGTTACAGCTCCAACTCCTTTTTACTGTTTTCCTGACAGGGTCTTGCTAAGAAGCGCAGACCGATTTGGACTTGGTATGTAGCCCAGGCTAGCCCTGAACTTGCAATCGTCCTTCTCAGCTGCCCTAGAAAGCTAGGGTGCCACCAAGCCTTGGCCAATCTGGAACCTATGGCTGGGCCTTCTAAGGTCCTTCGGGGACCTGGGAATTAGTCACGCATGCAGACCACTGCGTCTCAGCTCCATTTAAACAAGCCCTACAGGAATGGGCACTTGACCTGTAATGAACTTCGGCCATGGAGGAAGCCCAGGGCTGCCAAAGGGAAGTGGCTTCCAGAGGCCGGATGGGCCAGAGGCATTGCAGACCCACTTGGCCGCTCCAGGAGTTCTACCTTTTTCCTTTCCAAGGGAAGGTCGGGAGACACAACAGAAAAGGTGGCCAAGGGTGGCCTCCTGACCCCAGAGGTCTCCCCAGGCTTTAGTGGCAGGGCTAGGTGTCCCTGAATGGACTTAAGGCCCCTAGTCCCTGATTCAGCACAGTGTGTTTACTGGTTAGGGATGATCCGGCTGTGTCCGAATACAGGTGGCAAAATGGAGAGGGTACAGGACGAACCAGAACCCAGCAATCGCCATCTCTGGTGCCCACACCTGTTAGCTGGTTACAGCATTAGGATAGTCTCTACTTTCTTGAGCTCTGGTCCTTTTTTCCCCCAGGCTAGCCTTAAACTAATAAACAAATAGCTGAGGATGACCTTGAACTCAATCCTCCTCCTTTCACTAGAACTAGGGCTCCTGAGTGCTAGGCAAGCACTCCACTTCGCCAACTGAGACACAGCCCCAGCAGGCGAGCTCTGGTTCTCCCATCTGTAAATTCTGTGATCCCAACTACTCCTTCTACCCAGGCCTGTGTCTACGACCCCGGGAGTCCAGCTCCTATATTGTTAGGTAAAGTCCTAGACCGTCAGCGACCTCGTCTGTCCCAACTCTACCTTCAACCAACAGTGTGGTGTCCCTTGGACTCCTGGAACACAGCTATGCCCATTTCTAACACCAGATGTCCTAAGGTCGCCCCTCCTCTACTCTTCCATGGAGGGGGCCTTTGACTCTAAGTCACCCAGGCCTCTCCAAGGAGGTCTAGGCTTACTGCCTAAATGCCAAGGTCACTTCTCATGGCAAGGACTGGTCCTACAGTGCCAAGTGAGCAGAGGAGGACAGCATCCGTTACCTCTAGGTCTCCTTTGGTGATGGATTCTTCTTCCACCCGGAACTGCAGGTCCTCCACCTTCCTGTGGGCAGGAAAAGAGGCAGAGGTGAGCTTTTGCAGCCAAGGACATAATGTGCACGCACACACGCGCACACACGCACACACACATACACGCATGCACACACACTCATGCATGCACACATGTGCACACACACGCGCACACACACGCGCACACATGCACGCCCTCACATACACGCATGCACACATGTGCACGCACAAAGACAAGTGGATATGCATCAGGCCAGCTATGAAGACATCAGAAGATCTCAGGAAGCAATCTTGAACTTCAGAAGAGCCTGTCCCCATATAGCCAGGAACTACCTTGAATCCTATATTTGAGGAGGGAAAGAACCTTCTGGAAGCCTACTGCACTGAATACAAGCCTCCTTCCTCTCAGGATGTCCACAGAAAACAGAGGACAATAGTCTGAGCCAGCTGTGGTGGAGCATAGCACTGGAAGGTCAAGGCAGGAGGTTTGAGAGTTAAGAGGCCAGCCTGAGTTACAAAGTGAGACCTTGCCTCAAAACACCAAATCAGGGCTGGGCGGTGGTGGCGCACACCTTTAATCCCAGCACTGGGGAGGCAGAGGCAGGTGATCTCAGCAAATTTAAGGCCAGCCTGGTCTACAGAGCTAGTTCCAGGACTGCCAGGACTGCTACACATAGAAACCCTGTATTGAAAAACAGAACAAACAAATCCAAAAAACAAAACAAAACTCCAGAAAAATAAAAACAAAGCTGGGCCGGGCAGTAGTAGCACACACCTTTAATCCCAGCACTCGAGAAGCAGAGGCAGGCGGATCTCTGTGAGTTCGAGGCCAGCCTGGTCTATAAGGGCTAGTTCCAGAATAGGTTCCAAAGCTACAGAGAAACACTGTCTCAAACAAACAAACAAACACATAAATAAAAAACAACAAAGAACCCATGCCAACTCAGGACTGTGGCTCTTCAGTGGGCATACTTCTCCATGTGGTCCTCTCTCAGCAAAGAGGATGAGGGAGGCCAGGAGACTTCCTATTCGCTAACTCCACTCTCATCCTCCAAGTTGAGAGCTGAGGTCCCAGCACGCATTTTCTGGGCTTCCACTGATGTAGACGGTCCCCAGGACCCCACTGAGGGAGTCAGGGGCTCCCTTCAGGGGACACACATTCACCTGTACACTTGCCAAACAAGCACAGAGCAGGAAACAGCACTAGCTCATGCCACCATTGGTTTGAGCTGAGGTGTACCTATAAGGCCACAAAGCGACGCTACACAATGCTGGGACCCGCATCGAGGCCCTTGGTGAACACAGCCCCCACGATGTCTTATTTTGAAAGAAAGGAGCTTGTACCTAGCTTATGTATCTGAGTTTAGGAAGCCACGGCTTGATGGTGTGTGTGTGCCCAGAGGCCAGAAGAGGGCATCGGGTGTTCTGTTCCACCACTGCCTGCCTTAGTCCCTTGAGACAGAGTCTCTCACTGAACCTGAAGCTAGAATGGCAGCCAGAAAGCCCTAAGGACCCTCGTGGCTCTGCCCATCCCTCCAACAGCAGGGTTACAAGCATAAGCAGCTATACCAGCTTTCCATGAGTGCTGGGGATTTGAACTCGGGTCTTCACGTTTGTAATGAAAGCGCTCTTCCCGCTGAGCCATGGCCCTGGGACTCCATCAGGGGGACATTCTCTAGCTCTCTCCTCTGTCGTGTCGTTCTGCTGGGTTCTCGGTGTCGTTGTTTTGATTTGTCTGAGACAAGGCCTCACTATGTAGCCCTGCCTAACCTGAAGAAGCTCACTAGTTAGGCTTGGCCTTGACCTCACAGAGACCTGCCTGCCTCTGCCTCCCGTGCTTTTCAAAGGTGCCTGGCTCACCTTTCGAGGCAGAGGCTCTCACTGAACCTGGTGGTACAAACTGGACAGACTGGCCAGGGGGCTCCGTCTTTGTATAGCTAATGCAGGGGTTGAAGACGTGTGTGCCAACGCCTGTCTTATAGCTAGGGATCTGAATCCCGGCCTTTCTGTAGCAGGCGCTTTACCAACTGAGCCATCTCCCAGCCCCCACCTCAGGATGCTTTAAAAGACTTTTTTTTTTTCCTTTCTGGCATGAGACGCATCACCATGGGAACCAGATGTGTGGGCCAGACTACCATCTCATGCAGATATAAATAAACCCCCATTCCCCCCCCAGTGAGACTGTAACTGCAGGACTTGGCGGAATGCCCAAAACAGATGCAAATGGGGGTGTCAAGACTGGGGGCTGCTGCCAGCATGGGGGAAGGAAGGACCATACAGACAGAAATTGTTATCTTTTGGGAAGGATCAGGCCTATATCCCAGCAGAAGACCCAGGAAGAAGACAGGCCCTGTGTCTCTGGTTGGGGCTGATGGGCAAAGTCTGTATCTTTCTGTGGGTCTCTGGGTGTGCATTAGCGTGCTCATGTCCTCCACGTTGGTTAAGGGCTTTTCTAGGGAACAGGGAGTTGCGGGAACTTCTGCTCTATCCTTTGGGCCATCTCAAAAATTGATGTATGGGCCAGCAAGATGGCTCAGTGAGTAAAGGTGCTTGCCGCAAAGCCTGGTGAGCTGAGTTCAATACCTAGGACTCACAGTGAAAGGAACTAATGTCCACAGGTTGTTTGCCGATGTTCATACATGTGTACACACACAGACACAGACACACACACACACACACTTTTTTTTTTTGGAGACAAGTTTCTCTGTGTAGCTCTGACTAGCCTAGAATTTACTCTGTAGACCCGGCTGGTCTCTAACTCACAGAGATCCACCTGCCTCTATTGGGATTAAAGGCATGCGCCACCACCACCCAGATTCAAGTATTTTTTAAAAGAGCCCAAGGCTCTTTTCCTGCCTAGTGATGAAAGCCAGGCTTGCGCAGGTTCAGCAGGCTCTCTCTCACTAAGCTCCAGCTCCTCTTCAGAGGGCTTCAGATAACATCTTGTTATGTGGCTCAACCTGACATGAAATCTGCTATATATACAGTCCAAGCTATCCTCAAACTGTCAGCAATCCTCCTGCCTCAGTCTCCTTAGTGTTGGGCTTATAAATGTGAACCATCATACCTGGTCCAAGCCCTTGCTGTTAAAAAAAAAATATTAGCTCTCTTTCTGAGACAGGGTCTTATGTAGCCCAGGCTGGTCTCAGACTCACTACGTAGCTGATCAGGACCCTGAACTACTGATCCTCCATCTTCTACTTTCCGAATGTCAAAATTACAGGCATCTAACACAGCTCCCAGTTCATGTGGTCCTGGGACTCTGGCCCAGGGCTTTGTGTACGCTAGACAAACACGTTACCAACTGAGCTACATTCCCAACCACATTTTTTTTTTAAATTTTCGAGACAGGGTTTCTCCATAGCTTTTGGTTCCTGTTCTGGAAATAGCTCTGTAGACCAGGCTGGCCTCGAACTCACGGAGATCCGCCTGCCTCTGCCTCCCAAGTGCTGGGATTAAAGGCATGCGCCACCACCGCCCGGCCCCAACCACATTTTTTTGTTTGTTTTTTTTTTTTTTATTTTGTTGTGCTAGGTTGCCCAGGTAGCCCAGGCTAGGCTGGAACTACTGATCCACCTACTTCAGCTCCCAAGTACTAGGATTACAGACAGGTCTATGCTGTATCACACCTGACACCCCCTTCTTCTACCCCTCCCCCTTTTCACTGGGCTCAGCGGGTGCCAGGGACGTACCTCCTCTCCTCCTCCAGCTGATTGGACAGGTCCACTTTCTCTTTCCTCACATTCTCCACCAGCAACCGTGCCCGCTGCAGCTTCTCCTCGGCTTCTGCAACATACTGACCCAGAGCAAGGCCAGAACAGGGTCAAGTCAATTCCAGCCTTCTCCCGGGGACAGGACAGAGGCAGGAGAGGGTGCAGGAGAGGAGGCCCACGCTTCCTGTCCCTTGTTGGCCCCAACCAGGCGACATGAAGAGAGAAGGCCCAGCAGGGAAGGAAGCAGAAGGCCGACAGTGTGTGTGTGTGTGTGTGTGTGTGTGTGCACGCATGTACCCTAGGATCCTCCGAACACATAGATGAGGGTGGCTTTAATATAGTGGGGGTTTTGTTTTGTTTTGTTTACTACTGGGGATCAAACCCAGAGCCTTGTATAGGCTAGGCAAGTGCTCTAATGCTAAGCCACGCCCCCGCTCCCGACCCCTCACTAGGGTCTTTAGACAAGTACTCTACTACTAAACATCCCAACACTGATGCGACTGTATTAATCCAAGCTCCCAACACCCGGAGAAGGACAAAGAGGACAAGCTAGCTCACAAATGGGCCCAGGCGCCCAGAGCAGGACCTCACGCAGCAGACAGACATTAAAGTCGGGTGTGACGGTGCAGCTCTGTGGTCGCAACACTTGGGGAGGGAAGGAGCTTGAGTTTGGCTACCCTGTGCTACAAAGTAAGACTGTTTCAAGAAAAAGGGGGAAAAAAAGCAGGAGTCTGGGAAATTTGGCTCCATGGTGGGAGCAGGCCTAGCATGTATAAACCCCGAGGCTGGATCTCTATTGTTGCAAAAATACATTTCATACAAACATCAGAAAAATGGTTAGGATAGGTAACAATAAACCCTAGGCTGAGGGTAAGAGGCTCTATCTCTGAAATATATTCCACAGATGTGTGTGCCCCAAGCATTATCTGACACATGAGCAGTCCTACCCTAGAGATGACCATTTCAGTTAGGAATCCGGACACAGCATGGCGGGTGTCAATAGACGTAATTCTCTCTCTCTCTGTGTGTGTGTGTGTGTGTGTGTGTGTGTGTGTGTGTGTGTGTAATCCTGAGGGTGGAACTTAAGGCTACACACACGAGACAAGCGATCAACCACTGAGCTACACGCGCCTCAACCCCACTACCTCAACTATCACCAAAGCGGAGGAAGCAGGGGAAGCGGGGAAGGGGGAAGAAAGAAAAATGGCTCAGTGGATAGAGACGCCAAGCCTGGTGGCCAGAGTTCAATCCACGGTGTCCACATGATGGACAGAGAGAATGGACGCCCCCCAGTTGTCCTCTGACCTCCACATGCGCACTGTGATACACATAATGCTCTCTCAAAAAACAAATAAATTAAAATGTCCCAAAAGGCTTTTAGAAAAAGAGAAAAACTGGTCAGCTAGTGTTGGTACAGACTTTTAATCCCAGCACTCGAGAGGCAGAGGTGGGAGAAACTCTCTTGAGTTTGAGGCCAGCCTGGTCTACAGACTGAGTTCCAGGACAGTTAGGGGTACACAGAAAAACCATGTCTTGAAAAAAAAAAAAAAGAGAGCGAGAGAAATTCATCCAGGCATGGTGGTTCTCACCTGTAATTCCAGTACCTGGGAGGAGGGGGCAGGAGTGTAAAGAGTTTGAGGCTAGCCTGGATAACAGGGTGAGCTCCAGGCCAGCCTGGGCTACAAAGGGAGACTCCTCTGTCTAAAAAAGCAAAAACAGAAAAGTCTCCTCTGACCTAGAAAACACTGGTATGGGAGTACTAAAAGCAGGAAGCACAGGTTTAAAGGCCGGATCGTTATGGGCATCCCTCCAAGATGGGCCCCTAGAAGGAATCCTATCTTGGAGGCAAGCTGTTAAAACTCAGGATGTTCTAAAGGGAAGTAAAACCATCCATCTTGGAGGGAAGCTTGTGAAAACTCAGGAAATAAACAACTCAATAACTTCAGGAAGTCCCTGAAACTGACAAAACTCATTAAGGCCCTGCCCCTTCAGTTTATGTAGGGGAACCCTCTCAAACAAGCTGCCTGTTAGAGGCCCAAACCAATTGAGCTCACTAGTAGAGAGACTTTCCAAACTGCGAGCTGGCTGGGGGCTGTGCACTGTGCTCTGGGTTTCTAGTTTCCATGACCACCCTGTGGGAAGAGGTGTTCGGCGCACCTGGAGCCTGCCAGCTACCCACCTGCTCATGCTGTGCCTTCAGCAGGGCGATCTCCTTCTCCACCTCACAGATATGGCTGGTGGCCTTGGCTACTTCGGCCCTCTCCAAATCACGCTCAGCCAGCAGCTGCTCAATGTGCTGCTGCTTCTCCTTCAGCGCTTCCTGCAGGGCTGTCGTGCCTGAGATCTTCCGGGCGTAGCGTGACGAGGTCTCTGTGAGCTGGAGAGAGTGGGCAGGGGTGGGACTCAAGACACTCGGGGTGTCGTACACAGAACGGAGGCCTTGTGCTTCTCCGCCCGCCTGTGCCTCAGGATGTCTGAAACTCACTCGCTGATTCACCCTCAGAAGCAACATGATAGCTGAGACTCCACTTTCAACAGGGCTGCCTTACCCTGGCCAGCTCCACTCTAGACCAAGAAGTACCGAATGAAGTCCTTCTACCCAGACCCAAGTCACTTCCTCTTCTCTCCTCATCTGCAACAGCCTTTGGAATTCCTTGCCTGTATCTACCCAGCACTGTTTACCCGGAGAAGGTGACCAAGAAGCCAGTCATAACAATAATAAAACATATAAATGGACCAATGTTTCCTACGAAGAGATCACACTGCCCCCGCCCCCACCCCCACCGAGGGATGCCTGGAATCAGAGCAAGCCAGGGACGGATTAGGACACTTGATCCCACCCTCCACCCTTAACATCAGCATTCTCCAACTCCCGGGTTCTATCCTTACCAGGCCACTCCGGCTGGGCCGGCCGCCAACTGAGGAGGCCACGGAGCTGACAGAGCTGATGGAGGAGCTGCTGGGACTGTGGGTCAAGGCCGAGACGCCCATAGCCATCCGTTTGGTCTTCTTGGCCTTGGCTGGACTGGTGGATGGGAAGCCAATTCGGATGACCTTGTGGATGGGTGCAAAGAGACCGAACTTGGGTGGGCACTGGAAATACCTGGGAAGCACGACAGAGCCACAAGTGATGCCATCGTTACCTGGGGACTCCCCTGCCTCCTACTCCATCCCTGAGCCTGAAAGACAGAGGTGTCTCCTCAGGCCACACATCCCCCCCTTCGCCCCCCCCCCCCAGCCACATCCCAAAGTGACAGGTCCTCCAGAAGGAGGAGTCGGACAAGGTGGTGCACGCCTGTAATCCCAGCACTGAAGAGGTGGAGGCAGGGGATTAGGAAGATGGGAGTGCCAAGAATTTACAGCTCTGGAAATAATATTAAGACATGTGCTTTCCGTCACACACAGAAAAAGCAGCAAAATCAAGGTGGGGCCTCCCAGGCTACACTGTTCCAGGACCCTACAAACTATCTAGGGTACCCCAGCTGTAACTTTAACAGTTGGTCTACTTCCCAAACCAGCTTTCTATCCCTGGGGGCCCCCTGCATAGAGAAGAAAAACCCTGAAGGAGAGGGTGCAAGCTCAGCCTCTGCTATGTAGTGGATCAGAGGCCAGCCTGTGCTACACAGGGCTGTTTCTAAAAAGGAGGAGGGAGGGATCTGAGCGCGCGGGACACCTGCAGCTTTTCGCATCGCTCGGGAAACACTTAGATTCTCACTTTTCTGCCCAACTCAGCCCTGTGTGATAAGCAAGGGAACATAGAATGGAAGGACTCCCTTAGTGCCTGCCTGTAACAATGGCCTCTGCCCTTAGCTCTCTTGTCAATCACTCCCCCTGCCTAGCCTGACACGCTGTTAGGAAGCACGCAGGCATCACTGGCGTCTAGTACATCAAGGCCACTCTACCTCTGCCGCCTCATCCCTGTCCCTCTGACAATCCTCACGAGAGCCCACTGTACCTGGTGCCTGCCACGGCCCCGTCGTTCTTCCCAAGGGGCTCATCCAGCTCCACGCCACACCACTCGCCTTTCGCAAAGTCCGTCTCCCCAACATACCGTACCACGCCAGTCTTCGTCCCACCGACCTGTTGGCACATGGAGAGAGGCAGGTCCAGAGGATGCAGGGGACACAGGTTGAGCCTGGCAGAGGGCAGATGAAAAAGAGGAGATACCCACGGACAGCTGGGAGGAACACAGGGTCCAGGGAGTCACGTGACTGCTATGTGGAAGGGCACAGGCTTGGAGAGAGACACACAGATCTGAACTGCTGCAGGAGTTTGGGCAAGTGACAGAACCTCTCTGAACCCCAGCGTCTTCATCTACCAAAGGAGCACTTGTGATAATTAAATATTGTATGTACATAACAACTACATGATGCTAGAGCCCAGGTAAATGCTTTCAGTAAAAAGACAGAAGCAGTTTTCAGGGATGGGCCAGTGGCCCAGTAATAAAGCCCTGCCTAGAATCCCCTAGTGAGGGACTGGGGTGTGACTCAGTGGTGGGGCCCCTGCCTAGAATCCCCCAATGAGGGGTTGGGGTGTCAGTGGTAGAGCCCCTGCCTAGAATCCCCCAGTGAGGGGCTGGGGTGTGGCTCAATGATAGAGCACCTGCCTAGAATCCCCAAAGAGACAGCGCCCTCTTCTGGCCCCCTTGGGCAACTGCATACACACACACACACTTAAAAAATAAAATTTAAAAAAATCAAAACAGAAAAAGTATATAGTAGTGTAAAAAAAAAAAGTTAACTGAACAAACCAAACAAAACTCCAAGCTATACAGACACATAAATTAGAGGCCCAAGTACTTGCAAAACCAGGTCTGATCTAATTTCCTTCTGTTGCTGCCATGATAAAGGTCCCTGGGAGAAAGCAACCGAGGGGAGTAGAGGGTTTACTAGGCTCACAGTTCCAGGTTACAGTCTAACACTGTGGAGACGTCAAGGCAGGAAACGAAAACATCATATCCACAAGAACAAACACCTGTCCTTTGCTTGCTTCTGACACTCTGCTTTCTCTATTCTTATACTGTTCAGGAACCCCTGGTAGGGGATGGTGCCGCCCACTGTAGGCTGGGTCTTCCTACATCAGTTAACAACCAAGACCGCCCCTTCTCAGACATGACCATATGCCAATGTGACCTGGCTAGTTCCTCATCTGTGACTCCCTTCTCAGCTAAAACTGACCAGTACACCAGGGGTTCTCACCCTTCCTAACACTGCAACCCTTTAATACAGTTCCTCATGTTGTGGGCACCCCTAACCATAAAATTCCTTTCTTTACTACCTCATAACTATAATTTTGCTACTGTTATGAAGAGTAATATAAGATCTGTGTTTTCTGATGGTCTTACACGACCCACAGGTTGAGAACTGCCACAACCCACCTTTCAAAGTCCAGAAGCTTCATTCCTTTCCCCCCAAAATAAACACCATTTCCTCTTTCAGCGGAATGATTCCATAACCATGCCCATCTCTCTAAATAGCAGGCTTCTGCTGTAACTTCTGTTAGAAACATTTAAGGTATTTTTAACTGACATGTAAGAATAGTCTGTACTTCAGTGATCCTCATTTTTGCGTGCACTGGTATCTGGCTTGCATGCTATCTATGTGAGGGTGTTAGGTCCCCTGCAACTGGAGTTAAAGACAGTTGTGAGCTGTCATATGTGTGCCGGGAATTGAACCTGGGTCCTCTGGAGGACTAGCTAGTGCTCTTAACCACTGAGCCATCTCTCCAGCCTCCACCCCTTTTTTTTAAATTTATTTATTTATTATGTATACAATATTCTGTCTGTGTGTGTGTCTGCAGGCCAGAAGAGGGCACCAGACCTCACTACAGATGGTTGTGAGCCACCATGTGGTTGCTGGGAATTGAACTCATGACCTTTGGAAGAGCAGGCAATGCTCTTAACCACTGAGCCATCTCTCCAGCCCCCAACCCCCTCATTTTTTTAAACTGACAATAGCTGTACTTATAAATGGGGTCCAGTGTGATTGTGTATACAGTGTCCGTATTTCTACAGCGTGCACTGTTCAACTCAGGGAACTACTGCTCCTATCCCTTGACATAACCATCTTTTTTTTTTTTTAATAGGGAGCTTTTGAAAATCTCTCTAGTGTTTGTAATAGAATAAATAGGGAGCCTTTGAAAACTTCTCCAGTGTTTGTAATAATATACACAAACATAGAGCTGGGGATGCAGCTCAGCTGGCAGAGGGCTTGGCTAGCAGGCAGGAGCCCTGGGTTCCAACCCCAGCACCGCTGCACAGAAGGTGCGTCTGTGGTCCCAGCAATCGGGAGGTGGAGGCAGGAGAGTTCAGGAGTTCAAGGGCATCCTTAGATACACAGTAGGTTAAGGTAACACTCCAAGCTCACGCACGTGCATGTATGTCTGTGTGTGTACGTGCATGCGCGTGTGTAAATATGTGCTATTATGAGCTACTGTCACCTACTCTGCTTGACCTCAGTTCCATTTATTATTTATTTCACATGACCTCCAGTTCCATTTAATTTACTGAAATGGCAGGGTTTCATGTGTGTGTGTGTGTGTATGTAAATCTTCTCTTTTGTGTGTGTTCATGTGACTACGTACATGTGCATCTGGACCAGAGGTCCCTATCAGGTGCGTCTTCATCTGCTCCACCTTCGTTTTTGAGACAGGGTCTTTCACTGAACCTGGAGCTCGGCTTGGCTAGGCTGAGATTTAGCTGGGATGCTGGTCAGCAAGCCTCAGGGATCCTCCTGCCTCCACCTCCCCAGTTGTGGGATTATAGGCATGCACCCCAACAGTCCAAATTTTCCACCTTGGTTCTGGGGGGTTAAATTTAGGTCCTTGTACAGTGCTTACCAACTGAGTTATTGCCCCGACCCTTTGTTGTTAAGAGAGGGTCTTGTTCTGCAGCCCAGGTTGAACCAATACTTTGTAGCCTCGACTGGCCTCTTAGGAACTGATACGTCCTGCCCCTCTCCCTAGAATGCTGGGATTACAGACATGCCTCAGCACTCTCAACTCCTCTTAATCTTCTAACACGTCTGGACATTTTCTTATTTCAGTAACCATATTTTTCACTCCCCCTAGAGCCTTTTTTGCCCCAATGAATATTCATGAGCACATGAATATTCATATATACATATTTGTCTCCACATGAATATCTGTAGTGATATGAATATTCATGGCCCTATATTCAGTGGTAGTCTGAAGTGCCTTCTCCAATTTCTCAGATGACTGACCATCTTTTCCCCACGGAAAGTTCTGGAAGCCTCTACCATGAAAACTGCCATATTGGTTGCCAACCTCAGGGGGGTGAAGGAGGAGGAGGCTGCAGAGAAGCAGGGGAGTCTCGGCCTGCATGACAAAAGTGCTTGTCCTACAGTCTCAGCCTCAGGTTCACCTAGAACTCTGATCCTCCTGCCTCCACCTCCCAAGAGCTGAGATGACAGGTGTGGGCCGGCATGTTGTTTTATGGGGTGCTGGGATCAAACCCTGGGATCTGTGCTTGCCAGACAACCTCTTAACCAGCTGAGCTATAGCCCCAGCTGGAGAATCCCATTTTGTAAAAAGTATCATGGTTAGACAAGGTGTCTGAGCAAGACCAGCCTGGTCTGCATAGAAAGTTCTAGGCTGGCTAGGGCTACATGGTGGGCAAGAAAGGAAAGAAAGAAAGAAAGAAAGAAAGAAAGAAAGAAAGAAAGAAAGAAAGAAAGAAAGAAAGAAAGAAAGAAAGAGAAAGAACCAGTCTAGATTTAAATGCACCACCACCACCACACACACACACACACACACACACACACACAAAATGCTCAAGTGTTGAAGACTCCATCCCCGCTGGGGGCAGGACTAAGAAGGGATTGATCACGAGGGCACTGATTCATCCGTGTTAAATTACGATGAGTTCATAGCTGGATGGGCTGTTCGGAGGTGGGGCCTGCTCAGAGGAAGTACTCACTGTGGGTGTTTTGACATCGGGTCCCTAAGCTCTGCACTCAGCTCGCTCTCGGCTTGCACCCCCCTCCCAGCTTTCTCCCACTGTGCCTTTCTCTCCAGACCCAAAACGATGGAGCTGGCCAACTCTGACCCGATCCCTCCTAAGTCACATGCTTAAACCCATCTTTCCTCTCTTGTTTTCACCCCTGGTATTTCATCACAGCCACGAAAGGCTGATGAGCAGATGGGTCTGAGACCCAGAAAGAACACTTGCCCAGGGTCACACAGCAACAGGCTTCGAAGCCAATGTCTTTTCCGCTGCTATTCTATGCGGTACCAATGAGGAACGCGGCCTCATCCGTGTTCAAGTTCCCTTTGAGTCCCTTCTCCGCTCAGCCCCTGGGTTCCACCTTATCCACGAAGCGGCAAGGGGCGGAAGACAGAGAGAGAGAGGCCGTGCGCCCAGCCGGGTACCATCCACACTTACCAGCACACGGTCTCCCAGGTGGAGGTCCTTGTCACCACGCTTCACAGAACCGCTGTCAGAGAGGTTGGAACCAGACTCATTGCCTGTCTTCACGGAGCTGTTAAGGACACTCTCCCGCAGGGGGATGACTCGGCTGGTGAGTGGGGGTGTGGCGGTGCCAGAATGCAAGGACAGGTTCTGGGCAGTGAGGGATTCCACTGAGTGGGCGTCACTGCCAGAGCCCTCAGCTGTGGGCTGGCGGGTCAGCTTGGAGGGCCGCGTGAAGATGCCCTGCAGAGCCGGGCACTCGAAGTAGCGCACGCCACCCACCGCTCCGTCATTCTTGCCCACTGGGTCGTCCAGGACCACGCCGGCCCACTGGCCTGGCGCAAACTGTGTCTCACCGAGGTACTGCACCACACCTGGCTTCACGCCATTCACCCACACCCTTTCGCCCACCACAAAGTCCCCCAGGAAGTCATCACCCACTTCAGCTGCCTTTGGACCTGGCTTCTCAGAGACAGTGGTGGTGGCTCCGGCCGAGGAGGGGCCCGACGCCTGCTTGTGCAGGGGAGACCCTGTGGATAAGTTAAGAGGCAGTAGTTAGGACTAGCCTGGGAACTGGGAGACAGACAAAGCTGGAGGGTGTCAGTTATTTGATGGGGAAACTGAGGCAGGCGTGGTCAGCAAGCAGTATGACATGTAAGGCTTATTCCCTCTGGACAGTGGGTAACTCAGAGGCTTTCCTTATTCTTTAGGCTACCAGGGGTGTCCAGTGTTTGAGCATCTCAGGGACACACTGCCCTCTACACGGTACGCACTGGAGGGGTGAGTGTGGCTGACAGGGTAGAGCTCTTGCATGAGGCCTGGGCTCCATCCTCGGGACCTCAAATCACAAACAAACAAAAAACAGAATAGAAGTTGGACCGATTAGATGGCTCAGTGGGAAAAGGGGCTTGCCCCCCATCAAGCCTGGCAATTTGAATTCAATCGTCAGGACCCACATGTTGGAAAGATTGAACTTTTTAAAGGAGTCCTTTGATCTCCAGATGTGTGCCAAGGAATGAATGCCACCCCTCCCTTCCATGATAAACAAACAAATGCGAACCAGTCCTGTAAAGTGTGCTTGGCAGGCCTAAGCTATGGGCCTAGCTCTTAAGCCCCGAGCGGTGACCAACCCATCCCATCAAGGACCCCACTTTACCTGTCCTCTTTGCTTACAACTCAAGCAGGGGTCCCAGGGTCTCAGCGGCCCAGTGTGGCTATTCTTAGAAAAAAGCTACCAGCTCAGCTGTCCCAACCCTCAGCTGTCCCAGCCCACAGGACCCTCAGATAATCTCTTCTGACCCCTGCCTCTCGCAAGGGTCACAGGTCCTCCAACCAATTGCTTCAACAGCTGCGGCAATTCAGGTCACAAGTCTGTGATGCCAGCCGAAAGGTTCTTTGATTTATCTTTCCTTTTAGCCACCCCTAGCCCCCTGTCTGGTCCTCCCAGCTGCCCCTGCCTCACAGGGACTAAACCCTTTTCAAATTCCTCACAAAGACAGGCAGGGAGATTTCGGCTGCCTGGGGATGGGAGAACATAGGGTGCCCCAACAAGATTTGTATTCCTAGTTCCATAGCACATTGGCCAGGCTTGGTTAAACCCCCTCCCTAAATTGGTACCTCAGTTTCAGTTTCCCCAAGAGACAACTAGATAAGATGTGTATATATATATACACATTTATATATGTATAGAGAGCTCTGTGTGTGTATATATGTATCAATCATAGCCCAACAATATATATGTGTGTGTGTGTATTATATATATATATATATATCCATATCCTAAGTACTGTTGGACTATGATTTTTATTTTAATCATTTGAGATGCGCTCATGTAACACAGGCTGGCTTCAAATGCCCTATACAGCCCACAACAGCCTTGATCTTTCCTCCTCCACCTCATGAATGCTGGGAATACAGATGTGCACCACCACACCTGATTTATGGGATGCTGGGGATAAAACCCAGGGCTTCTAGCAGGCTAGGCAAACATGATACCAATTAGACCACATTCCCAGGGCCCTTCTGTTGTTTTGTTTTTAGAGTCAAACTACATAGCCTTGGTTGGCCTTGAGTTCACCATGCGGAAAAATCGAGCCTTCAACTTACAGCAATCCACCTGCCTTATCTTTCCCAAGATCTTAAGCATGAGGTCACCAAGTCTACCAATACTGCCAATCTCTGCCAGGGCAGGTGGTTCGTGTAATGAGAGCTCTTAAGTTGTCACATGGGCCAGCCAGTGGTGGCACATGCCTTTGAGTCCAGCTTGGGAGGCAGAGGCAGGAGATCTGAGTTCGAGGCCAGCCTGGTCTACAGAGTGAGTTTCAGGACAGCCAGGGCTACCCAGAGAACCCATGTCTTGGTGGGGAGGGAGGGCAAAAACACAAAACAAAAACAAAGCATCTGACACACGGGCTGTTCTCTTGGCCCACACCCTCATGGAACCACCTGAGGCTGGAGCCTGGATTTAGCGTTGCCTCTGAGGTCCCCACCATTGCACACACTGTATGCAATGAAGGCTGAAGGCCAGTCACATCTGGCAATGCACATCTGTCATTCCAGAAGTGGGAGGCTGAAGCACAAGGACTTCTGAAGGCAGTCTGAGCTACTGACAGAGTTCAGGATGGGACCAGACAAGTTAGTGAGCTCCTCAGCCAGGCGTCAGGGACACAAACTATACCTCACGCAAGCAATTTATCCTTTTCCTGGACGGCGATTTCCATCAGGAGAAAAGGCAAACAGAATTTATTTTGAGTGGCTGGGTGTGATGGGCCCTACTCTTCAGAGGGGTAGGAGGAAGGATCAAGAGGTAAGGGTCATCCCCAGCTATACAGAGAGCCTGAAGCCAGCCTGGGCTACTTGAGAACCTGTCTCAGATTTCACTGTTGCTGTTACTTCAGGTTTTAAGTTCAAACTCAACCCAGTGTAGAAGCGCTCACCTTTAATCTTTAGACCCAGCACCAGGAAGCAGGTGGATTTCTAGCAATTCCAGGCCAGCCAGGTCTACATATTGAGTTCCAGGCTCATCAGAACTGCATCGTGAGACCCGGTCTCAAAAGCATTCCAAGTAGAGCTTCAAGAAGGATTAAGGATAACGTGAGGAGGAAACAGCTGCGTCTGGTTCAGCAGCAGATGTGGGGCTCAGGGTGGGGACCCAGACGGCACTGTCCCCTGCATGAAGAGGACTCGAGACTTGGAGGGGGGGTGCGCATGTATGCAGGCGCATGCCACACATTGCATGCATGCAGGCGCATGCCACACATTGCATATACCATGTGTGTGCAGAGGTCAGAAGAGGGTGCAAAAATCTCGGGAGCTAACCGTATGGGCGGCTGCGAGCTGCCAACTGTGGGTGCTGGGAACTGAGCTCTGGAAGAGAAGTGAGTGCCCTGAGGCACTGAGCCATCTCCAGCCCCTCACCTTGTTTTCCTTGATAGGATCTCTCACTGAGCAGCTTGCCAAGTATCTCTGTCTCCCCGGGGCTGGGATTACAGCGCAGGTGCACCACTGCACCTCATTTTCTAGTGTCTCCTAACCTGAGTTAGCCTGGAATTTCCTCCGGAGCCAAGGATGAACTCCTGATCCTTTCTGTCTCTACCTCTGAGTGCTGTGACTACAGACAGACACCGCCAGGCCTTGATATGTGACGTTAGGGATGAAATCCACAGCTTCCTACATGCTTGGTCAACAGAGTCCCATCCCAGCCCCACCCTCAATCTGTTTTTTGTTTTTGTTTTGTTTTGTTTTTACATAGGTTTTGGGGGCTTGAACTCAGGTCCTCATTCTTGCAAGGCAAGCCCCCTTATGGTCTGAACTATTTGCTCAACCCCAATAGGGTTTTCCTTACCTGCCAAGGCTCAGCCAGAAGGAATCCCAGCTCACTGAGCAACTACTTCCGGCCAACCCTGTGGACACAAGGAGGCCACCAGGGAGGACAAATGAGGACCATCAAGGAATGGGGGAGGGGCACACAAGAGGAGAAGCTGTAATTCAGCCAGCTGAGCCTAAGGAAGGAAGGGAGAAGAGCTCTGGGGTACTGAAGGGAATGGGCACTCGACCCTGAACGGGGTTCCCATGATCCCTAGCTGGGCTGTGAACACGGCTCCGTTGGTGGAGTGCACACATGAACCCCACCTCCAACACCACATGAACTTGGTGTGATGGCACGTGCCTGTTATCACAGCACTCTGGAAGTAGAAGCAGGAGGGTCAGGAGTTCATGGTCATCTCTGCTTGTATGTGGTGAGTTCAAGGTCAGCCTGAGCTACAGGAGACTGTCTTAAAAACAAAACAAAAAACAAAAATCCACATACACACAAAAATAAAAGAGAAAAAGAATAAAGCTGGGGAGATTGCTCAGTGGTTATATGCTCGCTCAACAAGCCTGAAGACCCGAGTCTGGATCCCAGAACCACCATAAATGCCAAGTGGCCACATGTTATTCCAGCCTCAGAAGGTGGAGGATGAAACAGCCGTATTGATGAGCTTGGCATTTGATTGAGAGACCCTGCCTCAGGGCATAAGGTGAACGAGAGATGAAGAGGAATCCTACAGTAGCCCCAGGCCTGCAAGGCCTACCCAAACAAACAGATGCAGCCCGACATACACGTGCACACTGGTTACCAGAACCTATAAACTCTGGGGTGACCTCGGCTTTTGCCTTGATGGCCTTGGATGGAAGAAAGGTATCCTACTCTAGGTCCTGGGCCTCCTACGAGGCAGTCACCTCTCTAAATGTTCCACAAGACACAGTTCTAGCAGCACAGGATGCTACAAAGTGGGACAATTTAATTAACTTCTACGCTAAAAAACAAAACAAAAACCCACCTTACAGGGGCTGGAGAGATGGCTCAGAGGTTAAGAGCACTGGCTGCTCTTCCAGAGGACCTGGGTTCAATTCCCAGCAACCACATGGTGGCTCACAACTTTCTGTAATGGGATCTGGTGACCTCTTCTGGCCTGCAGGCATACATGCAGGCAGAACACTGAGTAAATAATAAAAAATAAAGAAGGAAGAAGGAAGAGGGAGGAGGAGGAGGACAAGGAAGAGAAGATGAAGGAGGAGGAGGAGGAGGAGGAGGAGGAGGAGGAGGAGGAGGAGGAGGAGAAGGAGGAGAAGAAGAAGAAGAAGAAGAAGAAGAAGAAGAAGAAGAAGAAGAAGAAGAAGAAGAAGAAGAAGAAGAAGAAGAAGAAGAAGAAGGCGGCCTTAGGGGTACTTTCCTGTGGACCGCTGGGAGCTTTTATCATGTTCATGAGCACCCTGACCACACAGGAGGGGCTAGAATAAGGTGAGCCTACTGACGCCTCAGCGAACCTGCCATCTTTGGCAGCAAGAAATGCTAAAGCAGGTAAAGTGTGTCACCCTGCCACGGAAACAGCAGTTTCTTGGTGTCACCTAAGGAGGCCTGCCTGCCCACCTGTGCCAACTCGCAACAGCAGCTGCCAAAAGCCCCTCACTTAGCCTCTCTCCCACTCCTCCAGCTCCACGGTGCTGTTTTTAGTCTGCACAGGTCTACCGGCTGGGCTACTGGACT